GGCATTTTATTTTTTAAAAAAAATTTTTTTTTAAAAAAAGAGTATTAATTGAACATGGAAAATTTTAAAAAATTTTTTTTTTGTTTTTTTTCTGGACAAAAAAAAAAAAAAAAAAAAAAAAAAAGTTAAAAATCTTTTCAATTAAATAAGGACCCAATTTTTCATTCAAATAATAAAATGACAGAGATATATAATATATATAAATAATAATAATAGTAATAATAATAATAATAATAATAATAATAAATAATAATAATTTATTTTATTTTTTTTTTTCTCTCTGTCGTCTATTGTCCGAAATATTCTACGGGTCTTTTTCCTAATTCACAAGTACGACCATTCCTTCCATTTCAGAATTGTTTAAGCATTCATTAATAATGGCATCCTCCTCTTCAAACATACTAACGCTACTAACGCGCGCCATGCTCATTCTTCTGCGGTATTTAAGACATTGCTTATACATTCCCCATACTGGTGAATTTGCAAATAATCCTTTACGTAAATGTGAAATATAGGTATAAAAATCACAAACGGCAACAACACGATCTCGACAGAATCTATCAAGTGGAATCCATCCCGGGCTTCCTGTAACAGAAAATCGGGATGATGGGGTCATAGCTGTCATTGGTGGCACTGCAGCATCAGGTCCAGAAATTCGCATGCGGAAATCACAACTTCTATGTTGACCACAAAGACCACATTTAAGTTTTGGTGCTGGTGGCGGTTCATTATAATTGTTCGACCGTGTGTTCGATGTTGAACTGCTGATTTGGCTGGTCTCAGATATACTTGGAACAGAGTTTGAATTATAATGTATTTTTTGAATTTCGCATTGATTTTTCATAATAGCATCTAATAAACGTCTCTTATAAAATGGTGATTTCCATCCTGCGTGTCCTTCGAATAAGCATGGTTGGATATCTTCACTCATGCAACGCTTCATAAATGGATGTGTAGGATTAGAATTCACAGGAGTTGGGGAGTTTGTAAGCGACTTCACATATTCTTGGAATTCTTCAAAAACTATACTATCAATGTAAATATTTCTGCCCTTAGAAAACGTTATTTCATCCGAAAATTGACTTGAAAATATATTAGGAGACATGTGACCGAATATCCTGCTTGCTCTTGGACTATTTGCCGGAGAATTGGATAGTAAACTTCGACGGACAATAGAATTTCTGTTTAGTGGAGCTCCATTTTGTGTCGGTACACTCTGCCTTTGTTTGGCGGAATCTAAATGGACCAATAATAATTTCATTTCTCTTAATCGATCCTGCCTACTTTCAGATGATTTCAATGAATTATCCATTTTGCCTTTAGTCTCCCTGTTTAAGCATTCTAACTCTTCACGTGTATTGGCCTCATCAAATACCATCTGATTAACTTTCTCAAACATGGCGTTTATCCATTCATCTATTTCCCGTTCTAAACTCTCTTTATTATTCTGAATTTGAGACCGAAGAGATTGTTCTTCCGCAAGAGATAATGCTAACGCAGAAAGATCACGTTTAAGATAAGCGCGCTCCTCAACATGTTGATCAACTTGAGAGAGCAATGTATTACAATTGGGACAGATGCTGTTATTTTGCAAAACATTAGGGACTGGACCAGGAGATGGTAAATTGTCATGGACAAGACGATGTTCATCATCACCATCGTCAGAATAATCATCATCTGTGCTTTCATCTTCCTGCTCATCTTCGGTTTCTTCAGATTTCTTATGAAAATTATTCTTTTTATGCTCATTAAACTTGATTAAATATTCTTGACGTCGCGCAAGCTCTTCTTCGAATGCACTGTCAACTGACCCTCTTGGACTAGATAGATATTGTGCTGTTAAATTGTTATGGTTATCGTTATCATTATCGTTATCGTTATCATCGTTATCGTTATCACTATCGTTATTGTAATCATCATTTTCGTTGTCATCATCAGACATAGGAATATCAAAATCTGCAATGTCCTCTGAACCATCTAAATCATATTCATCGAGATTAGGCATATCGTCCAGCGAAATTTGACTACTACTAAAAGATTCCCTCCTAGAATTATCATGGTGGACTGTAAGTTTATTATTTATATCATTTTCTACATCGTCATTTACCTCCTCCTTTTGTACAACGTGATTAGGTATAACATTATTAGGTAGAGGGTTATGTTGCGGGGCAATAATTTCAATCCTGTGATCAGATTCATAGTCATCGTCATTAGATGGTTGAAGTTTCGAATCACGCCGTACTTGTGGTAACGATTTTTTTGGATTTTTTGGTGCTTGTTGATTATTTTGGGTACATTTTAAATAATTTAAACATAATTTAATACTATCTAGGAATTGTCCCTCCAAATCATTTGATTCTACTGCTGTAGCATTATCGTCATCGTCTTTGCTAATTTCTTCTTCTTCTTCAAGGCTTTGTGCTTTAAGCATTTCTACAGTTCTTGCTAGAACAATTATGGCCTCCCGAGCTCCAAACTCAAGACGACTAGCTTTGGTTTTTAAATTATGAATATATTCATCTTTCTCACCAATTTCTTGGAGTAATTGATCTCGTTCATGTTCATGAGCTTCATTTATGGTCTGATTTTATTATATTAAAAAAATTGTTTATTTTAAGTGCTAAATATAAAATTTCCAGACTGAAAAATATCAAATTTCTATGAATTGAAATTTCGATTGCATATGATTTTATGCAATATAGAAAAAAGTATTTTTTATTTTTTTTTATATATTTTTACACACCTCAAGGTCATTTTCCAATTCAAATACTCGACTTTCGAGTTTACTAATAAGATCCTGAGCTTGGAGCATCAAAGGTAGAAAACTTGCTGCATCCGTTGGTAAACCTTCCTGCTCATTTGCTCCAAATGATTCATTTAGCATCTCGGTTCCGGGCATATTATAAAATTATATAAATGTCGATAATTTCTGAAGGCTTAAAACAAGCTTGTTCTATCTCAATCTATTAATATTAAGGCTTCACTATATACAAATATTAGACCAAATTACACTTATACAAATTTCATTAGAAAATATAAATGTATGATAAGGTCGTGATAGATAGAAACGGATGCGAAAGTGAAGCAAAATGCACTGTAGAAATAAAATAAATGTTACAGGCTTGTAAAAGTCAAACTATTGGACTATTGGACTACTATTGGACTATTGGACTACTATTGGACTATTGAACATAATAAAAAAAAAAAAAAAAAAAAAAAGGAAAAATAGGAATATATAAGGGAAGAAAAGGTGATTTTCCAGTAATCGATTTTTACAATAGATTTTTTACAATAGATTTTATATTTGTATATCGGTATTTTATTTTTTTTGTATAAAGGCTCGTTTCCTTTCAAATAGCCTTATTCTCGCAACGAGTATAAAAGCAGCGACTACGATTAGACAGCCAAAATAACGGCTATGCAAGGACACAAAACAAGTAATTGCTTTACTTCGAGCACAGTAATCGTTATCGTTATGGATTGATAAATTTTCGCGAATACAAGGGGTCTATGATTTATCGTTGTCTCATCCTCATCACACAACGTGCCACCTTTTTTCCATATATAAACATAATAACTAAACGAATATAACTAGTCTACCAATTTGCCGTTGGGGACGGTTTGGGCTGAAATTTACTTTTATGTATCATGTTGGACGAAAATCTTGAAACACAAAAAAAAAAAAAAAAGCAAAAATCATGCTTTGGATACAATGAAAAATCCGATGCATTAATACACAAGACCAACCCCAACAATCTTGTCCAATAATGAAAAAAAACAAAAAGTAAACAAAAAAGGAAATAACAGAACATAGCATATAAAACTTTAAAAATCATTACCCCATCAATTAATTGTCTGTCAAAGTATTATTCTTGCCCTTTTTTTATTATTGAATCAGTATTACCATGACATTCCGCACTACTCTTCTTGTCTGGACGGAAGTTTGTCTTCATAAGTTCCCTTACCCGAGAAATAAAATTCTCGGCAGTGGAAGAAGCAACCGATATATGTGAAGATAATGATTCTAGCATTTTATCAAGGCGTGAAACATCATCCTCGTTTCTAAAGGATTCGGTCATGTCAACTCGCCTAAATTTTATGACAATAATTGTTAGTCAAAAAAAATTATGCATTGTTACAATAGCATTACCATAACCATTGTTGTGCTATATATATATTTATTATGAAGGAAAATAAATGCTTTAATGTCAAATTGATACACTTACTGGTCATAATTTTGATATTCCTCGATCAACTCAGATAATTGTGTAAACATTTCCTCGGGTAAACTTGCACTTGGTGATACCGAATGCTGGCATGAATAAGGTGTTCCTGATGTAATAAAGAATAAATAGCCACTTAAAATTGCAGAAATGTAGAAGTAATATCCAATAAAATTTTGGCGCTTACTAAATTGCCCCGAAAGGTCATAGTTTGTTCCGCTCACCCAGAACTGAAATCTGGATACATTAGATTCGTGTCCAGCATCATACGGCGTCACAATAACGCCAATAAAGGGTTCCACACCGTCTTCACGTCGCCACATTTCCTGTATTAAACATGTAAATTATATTTAATTATGGCTTTTTGTAATAAATAATGAACTTAATAGCTCATTAATTATACCTGATACTGAGTCTGGTTTTCAATATCACGGACAGAAGGTTGAGGTTCAAATGTTGGATGTGAATGATACCACCCAACGAATTGAAGACCCTTTTCGGCAAAAACTTCTCTCGCAGCAACTTCAGATGCTGGATCCATTTCACACTAAACAAATCGCAAATGTAAGATTACAACATTTTCAAATTTTTTTTTTATTTTATAGTATTATACACTAATGCGTAAACACCTGAAATCCAGTGCTAGCACTTCTGCATGGAAATACGTATGTCACTTCCATACTTTCACTATCTGGATGAAAATGGCCACCGAGTAAACCGATGATTTCCGTATGAGCCAAATGAGCATGAAAATCCATTACGAGCTATTATTCATGTATATAATTATTAATGCTTATATAAAATTGTAATTATAATATTTATTTATCAGGTATACCATGACATTTGCTGTAACCGATACACGGAATGGCGCTGGATTTCTTGACGTATAATTAAGTGGTGGTACCAATCTGAAAGGATCATAGGAACCGACCATGTCATATGCTAGAACATCGTAATATTATACATTAAGGGAAATATTATCACAATTCCGAACGATTTATCCCTAAAATAGCAAAGGATATTTCATTATAATTAATTCGACCTCCTTTCGTACTGGTACGAGTTCGCTTGCTTCGGCGTATTTGATTGTCGCCTAGAAAATTATGAATATTTAATAACAATAAAGTCCGAGACGGCCAAGAAAATTTTTGTAAGGAATTGTACCTGGAGTTCCTTCCTCTCCATCATCATCATATTCATTTGGACTTGCTCTTTTAAAAAAGTGTTCAAAATTTTGTCAAAAACTATTAAAGTTAATAGCAAAACTCAATCTCATTCATACCTTTCTTCATTACGGCTTTTTTTACCGCGTCTTCATTGAACAGATAGATTAGATTAAATTATATACATCAGTATCAGCAAAATAAATTCAATGAAAAATTATAATTAACCCATTAAGAGTCCAATTCTCATCCACCAACGCAGTCTTCCCTTTTCTTTTTTTAATTACGTTAGTACTTTTGCCCGCATCATAAAGTACTTTTGGCTTGAAAGTTCGTTGCTTTCTCTTTACTAAGTCATCACCAACATTGATGGCACCTATCAATTCTAGATATGAATGAACACGACCGATGGCATTCACATCTCCGCAGTCCTATACAACAAAAATGTAGCTTTAGATATCAAACATATACGCAAATCAAATATTATGATGCATAAGAGTGCATATGCACCTTGAGTCCTGATCTAACACTTGTCTTGGACACGTATTTTGGTTTATTGCTATTCCATGCATTAAGAATGAAATTTCTAATTTTCATGTATCTCTCAGGTGTTTTAGAACCCCTGCCACAAAAAAATTCCGAATTTTTTTTTCTTTCGGATTCAGTAATGGTTGCCTGGTCAATTACCTATCAATGATAAATTAGCATCGGCAGAGATAGCCATCCAATGTCTAAAAAGAAATTAATTTAAAACGAAGTAATTAAAGTCTACGAGCATACTGTCACCCCAATTGGGTTTTCATCACCCGAATCCGTGTCGTTACTAGCCCCTGAGTCTTCCAATTGGTCGATAGAATCAGTGACCACTGCAGGAGGTGAAGTGGTCGCGTCTTTTTCTTCATTAAAGTCTAAATGATACGCGTCGCGAGGCGGTGATATATCTCCGACAGCGTTCTCAGAAATATGCGAATTCATTTTTAAGACGAATTCGTTAGCAGAAAAGATAAAAGCGTCTAGATTGAGTCTCCGAAGTATAACTTTCACAACATGTAAGATTAAGATAAGATGCAATAAAGTTAAAACCGGTGTAAGACCTGTGAGAAAATTCCTGCGGGGTAAAATAGGCCAAAGACAGTATTTATTTAGATGCCATCAATATCACCATGATCATCGGTCACATCAATTATCACAAATTTGATTATCATTATATTGTGCTATTACCATATTATTATTTAAGTTCCGTACACCTTCGTCTCCAGTAACTTAGAGAAATATCTTATCCTCACTAATTAACCAAGCTCTCTTCAATAGGGTATATGGTGTAGAGAACTATCAGCACCACATACATGACGTAAGCCATTACGAAGTATTCGGCATTTAGTATTATATTATATATATTGCTGAAAAATACTTGGCTATCTAATATTAGGCTATGCATACGACATCGTTATCGAATTCTGGATTCTATTTGACAAAAATGGCAAAGACTGAGAGCCACGCCACTGAAAAGCCGCCGTACTGGAAAAGGGAAAGTCTGCAATTTCATGCCTTTGAATATTTACCTTAAAATCATGAATTGAATTATTTCAATATCAATATCATTTTGAATCATCTTAATGAGACGATTCGAATGATATTGAAATTAGGTATTTTTAAAAATATTAAAAAGCATGACTTACAAGTTTTCTCTTGACGTCACTCATATAAGGAACGATTTTAAATGCTGTCGTATTTATTTTGAATTCTAATGCCATTATGAAATAACGAATCTATTTCAAAAAAAAAATAATCGATAAAGCCGCTTATGTTCAAAATGTGCTTACCATATTCAATTCAATCCATATGACAAGGAGATTAAATTAAAATAATAAAGGTAAAGAAAAGATTTACATTTGTCAGCAGTTACGTAGAATTAATGGGATGATTTTTTTTTTATGAGATTTATGAACCTAAATCAAATGAAATGTTAAACAACCTCTAAGAAGTTCTGATAATATTGCACTTCGACAGGATATATCTATTAAATCTGATAATGATATTTGACAAACTTATTTCTCAATTCATTAGATATCTGAAGAATACAAAATTTGCCTTTGAAAGGTATAAATAATTTTTTTTTTTTCTCTTAATTATCGTGATGATTATAACTCTAATATTATAATCTGTCAATCCACTGAAATTTTTGAATTTGATTATAAAATTGTCCAAATGATCGATATTAAGAGATCAAAATGTTATTTTGATTTTGAGTTTTAAAATTTAAGTTCTAATCACTTTTTTTTTTTCTTATATTTATTTTAATGCACAATATGGTTTAGATTATTTGTGGATTGCTCAAAAATAGCTTTTTATTAGGAATTAATTTTTTTTAAAATAAAGTTAAATTTTAATTTATATTATAAATAAATAAGCTATAAGAGATTTATATACCGTATATTTAAAATAAAGAGAAAATGCAATAGTTTAAATATATTATTATAATGTTATAATAATCTTTATTATAATTTAATTAT